ACCGTAATTCGAAACTCACTATTAGGCAATATCTTTTGAGAGGACTTACAAGGATTTTATATTTTGTGATAGCTTGTTCCATTCTATTATTTTATACATACATAAATACATTTCGAAGAAACATGAAGACTTGTGTTTACTCGATATTAATAAATGTTAACATAAACAAATCGACACGTGCAGTTGGCAGGTAGAGCTGTGAGTGTTGCTAGCGGAGAATGAATAAAAAAAGCGTCAAAACACCTAGCTGGACTCCAGCCAGTTGTTTAGTTGCAGACGTAGAGACGTGTGTTACTCATTTACATCGTTGGCGTTGCCGCTTGTGGCGTTAGACTACGACGCTATCTCGTTCTGTGAGTGCGGAAAATCCACTGAGGGAAAAGATAGGTAGATCTTGCGGAATTCTCCAAACATTAGAATAATCATCTCGATTATTTTTGCATTGATATATAAAACTGGTTTTATACTCGTTGATCTTGTGGCTTTGAATATTAATTAATCATTCAACAACATATTTGCGTCGCAAGTATACGCACAAACACAGATGTAAACATAAGTGCCCTCTTGTTCTGACGTAGCCCTGCTATCCAGTATAATTGTAATGGCGGCTCTACACTTTGGTCAATATAGTGGCGAATGTAGTGGCAAAGATGTTGGCCAAGAGTGTCGTCCACACGTTGGAAGGTCGTTCGTTCAGTTTGCTTCGGTGCAGGCCAATATGAGGACGAATTTAAAAAAAAATATGAGGACGAATTTAAAAAAAAAAGGATATTGAGGCGCTAAGAACTGCTGTGGTTTATTTATTCACAGCATACCGCTACTACGTGAATGTGTATAAGAATTTGTTATTTTAATTTATATTTATTAGAAATTTTTTTTTGGGTTCCACAAACAATTTTTAGCTTTGTAGAGCTCTATAAAGTGAAAAGTTTCTTCATTAGTCATTGTTATTGCCATTTTGTAGACACTAGTTAGGAAGCGTGAATATAAAATTTAAATCAGGTGCGTGCAATCACTCTGGGAGCTCGTACTCGTAGCAAACTAAAGGCACGTCCAACGTGTGGACGCGGCGGCCAAACTCTGCCACAATCCTTTGTTCCTTTGATCTTTTGTAAAAAACCGACACAACACGGATCTTGCGCTATGTTGTGGGCCAATTTCAATACATACCAAGGTAAGCACAAACACACGCTTTACTTGATGGCCAAAGGTATTGGTCACAACATTCGCCACTATGTTGGCCAACGTGTAGAGCCACCGTAAGGCGATATGATCCAGAGGTATTCTGCGATGACCCGGTAGACATACCAAAAACTACAGATGCCGCGAGCAGTCGTTATAGCAAATAGTCTAATACCGATTAATCGCCATTCCCAATGGCGAATAGTCGAGTAACTCGTCATTATTATTCGAAATAAAAAATATTAAGATTATTTATTTGTAATCAAATAATAACTTGTGTAGTAGTCATGAACTTACCTTCATTTATTTGTTACCGTAATCTTAAATATTTCTAAGTTGAAGTATGAGAAAATAAAGCAATGAAGTCTTAAAGAAATACTATATAAGAATCCTATTTTGCGGGGAATTCCTCGTAGTGTAACCCAGCGTTTAATACTGCAGGGGATTTCTCGGCTAATCGATTTCGCTTGTTTTTAGGTTGGTAGATATTTGTTTTTCACTTCCCTCAGGGAGTTGCTTCATATATAATCTCCAGGTGGTGATAAATGCTGCATTAAGGGGAAATATAACCTCAAATGGCTTAGCAATCTCCTCCGTTATGCCGAAAGTATTGCAGCATTAATTTTGAAATAAATATATGGTAAAGTTGAGGATTAATGTTAAGGTTTATGTTAGACGAAAACACGATTCCGTAAAATTTTCTCGATAGAAAGTGTCCTGTCGCTCCGCAGGAACCAAGCTTACGCGCCGATAGTTTAGGTAATTTCTTTTTACAGTGAAAATAATGATATTTTAAAAAAAGTAAATAACATAAGCACTGCTTTATGGTTAGTTCAGTTAGTATGCAAAGTTTCATGATCTTATTTAAAGTATTTTATGAATAACAGCGGTTTATTGTTCAGTTTGGAGGTAACTTTGGATTTTTTTTCTATCGAGAAAATTTTACGGAATCGTGTTTTCGTCTAACATAAACCTTAACATTAATCCTCAACTTTACCATATATTTATTTCAAAATTAATGCTGCAATACTTTCGGCATAACGGAGGATCTTGCTAAGCCATTTGAGGTTATATTTCCTCTTAAGAAACAGTCCCCCAATAACAGAAATTTTAAAATAACATTTATAACTAGCGACACGCTCTGGCTTCGCCTGGTTGGGATCCATTAATGTGGCGTTATTACGACTAAAGATCATCTTAAACACCATTTATTTGATATTATCAATATTTCTATTTTAATCAAGTCTCTAAATTTTTCGGATAAAATTTAGTCAAGAACGACGAGCGAATGCAGGAAACAGAGTGAATGGGGCTCTCCTAGAATCATATAAAATCTGGCTGTTGGCTTTTAATTTTTTTTTTCTGAACAGCAAATAAATACTAATTAAAAATAACTTATGTTATTTGATCATTTATTGTAGATTAATTAAAAATTGTCACTTCGTAACTTTAGGTTCAAAAGTATAGGTTTTCAGAATAATCACGTCAGGCCGTGCCGGCAAACCTGGTACGCGCGGTGTCATAATGATGGGACGGGTGACAGAGTTTGCATGATGCTACGCTTTTGTTTGTCAAAGCGATACATTTTTACGTATTTTGGGGACATCGGGACACTAACCTTTAAATCGGGACCGTCCCGCCTAAAGTGGGATGTATGGTCACGTTAAGCATACGCAAATGACTTGCTGAGTATCGCACTGAAATAGGCTTCTATATTACCTATCGCACAGAGTTAGATTAAAAGATATTGAGATCATGCGCGCAGCAAGAATCTTTAGGCCCTTAAAAACTTTTCTATTTCAATGATTAGCTCCTCGAAATAATTCTTTGAACGATGTGGATGTAGTAAAATTTAGAAAGTAAGTTAAAGAAAATTAGTTATATTATTAGGAACACAAACACGGAATCACGGTTTCTGTCTCAACCATCTCAAAATGTATGAAATATCACTCATTGTAGATATTGGGTAGGGATGCCGCGAGCTATTATTCGGTATTCGGCATTACTTGACATTTTTTGTTATTCGTCGTATACCGAATAATAAGCTAGTATTATTCGACATTCAGCGAATAGTTGTCTAAAATAAAGTTTTAATGAACAAAAGAACTACAGACTTAAAAATAATTAAACCTAAATTTTTCTTTTAATATGTAATATAAGAAAAACATTCTTAGGTAATATGTTGAGTCCCAGCGAGTTTGATAAAAAGCCGAAGCAATTACATGATATGAATAATTAGATATATAATTTCTTAATGAAGTTTAAGTATTCAATAATTAATAATTAATAACTATTTATTTTTGAAGTCGGTGCCGTCCAACAAATTAAACATAAACGACATTCTGTGGTAAAATAATTTACTTTAGGCTGTACTTCCTTTCTTGAAGTCATTTAATAACTTTTTATATCACACAACACAACCTCATACCCACAAGGAAAGATATTAAGCACATTTCAAGTAGCGACGAAACAGTGCTCTACTTCTTAAAACGCACTCACACACACATCTCGTATCCTTCCTAAACAGGCCGTAAAAGTCCAGACCACACTCTCACAGAATACCAGCGTAAAAAATCAGCTTAATGCTGCTGTGCTTCGTATGATGAGTGTAGAAAAACAAAGACCCTTTTTACAGGAAACGAGACATACCAACTCAGTCCTCAGGGGTGACAACGCATCTGCAATTTGATCCTTGATTGAGGATAAATGTATAATGTATATGGGCCACAGTATGCACTTACTATCAGGTGGATCACAGTTCGATGGGACGTTAAATCGACACGACCGGAGAGAGATCAAGCGCAAGACCAACGGCTCTATGTGCTTTCCAAGTCACGGGATGAGACACCGCCAACTTTTATACGTGGTAGAGCCACGCTGCAGCTATATTATGGTTGTAGCATGAATGGGTCGGCTCAACCGGGGAAGGACCACGCTCTCACAGAATACCATCGTGAAATGACAGCTTAACGTTGCTGTGTTTCGTATGGTAAGTGTAGAGAACCGGAGACCCGTTTTACTGGAGTCGAGGCATTCCATCTTAGTCCTCAGAGGTGACAACGCATCTGCATTTTGATTCTTAATCGAGGTTAAATGTAGATATCTATGGGCCGCAGTATCCACTTACCATCAGGTGGACTGTGTGCTCGTTTGTCACCCTAATCCTATATATAAAAAAAATTTGACCCGGCAGCTTACAGAAAAACTTTACTTTTTTTCCCACCCGAGATTCCCTCCTCACTATTTACACCACTAGACCAACGAGGAGTGTCAGGATATTCATCCGTACGAAACTCATGATCACTACTACCAGCACGTACGCGCTAGTATTATAACAATGACTCGACAACACAATACGCAATATAAGATAGAAAGATATTCTAACAGACTAAGGCGGCCTCTCATCCATTCATTACCTACGGCCTTTCATTAGTTCACTGCTGAACATAGATCTTCCTCCAAGGAATGCCATAAAGCATAGTCACCAGAATCTAACGATCGCATCTCTTACCAGGTCGTCACTCCATCTGGTGGGCGGCCGGCGTACACATCGCTTACCGAGGAACGAGGCTGCCACTAATGATAGATACTAAAAACATTTTATTAAAGAATATTAACAATGCTATAAACATTACTAATATTCCCCTTAACCACTCGTGGTAAGCTTAAATTCCTTGTGTTACTAGTAGTTCACGCCAGTAGTCGAATGGTGGATTCGAACCCACGACCTTTTTCTGTTCGCGGTCCGCGCCCTGCCATTAAGCTGCTGTCGCTTATGAATTTTTGAACAGAACATTTACAATGCGACGGCGACTTACCTCCGATTAATCCATACGTGAGCATCATCATTGTCACGCTCTTGCTGAGTGTCGACAGCGCGAAAGCGACAGTCGCTATCAAGGAGCCGGCGACGCACACAGCCCGACAGCCGTATTTGTTGCATAGCGCTGATACCACTGGACCTGTGATAGAAACAATACTTATAAGTATTTTTTTTATAGGATAGAGTGACAAACGAGCACACAGTCCACCTGATGGTAAGTAGTTACTGCGGTCCATAGACATCTACATCTATCCTCGATTACGATCACTTGTCACCCGTGAGGACTAAGATGGAATGCCTCGTTTCCAGTAAAAAAGGGTCTCCGGTCTCCACACTCACCATACGAAACACAGCAGCGTTAAGCTACTATTTCACGCTCAACGTGTCCTTCCCCAGTCGAGCCGACCTCGTGCTACAACAACTATACTACTAATATAACTGCAGCATGGCTCTACCATGTATCAAAGTATATTTGAGACAAGGGCGGACAAGCTATTCTGGCGAGAACTGGCTCTGCTTAAAATAGTATATGCTCGGAAATAATATGTGTATACATAAAATTATTCATATTGGAATGGACTTTGAAAATATTTTATTAATCGTGATAAAAAAATATAATTTAATCACCGGGACAAAACACTGACGTTCGAGTTCTTGTTTTTGTAAGCTATAACTGTACAATATTTTTCTATATTATGAAAGGAATTTTATTGAATTAGATTATTCATTGGTTACATTTTTATTTAGATCCTATATTTCCTGATAATAAGCAAACATGTTTCAAATAAAGTAACTTTGTGTCCATCAAATGTCGCACGTTTATTTCGTGCTGGGCAAATATACATAGAGCGGTAAAGAAACGAAATCCTCGCCTTAATGCAAAAAAAGTTAACAGCTACCTTACATTGAAATAATACTAGTTTTTACGGAATTTATCGCGTATATTTAACTTTTTAAATACCCGACGTTTCGAACGCTTTACAGCACTCATGGTCACGGGCGGGACTGAGATGTTCAACGAAACGTCGGGTATTTAGAAAGTTAAATATACGCGATAAATTCCATAAAAACTAGTATTATTTCAATGTGTAGTATTTGCGTAAATATAAGAAATCATTTGCTACCTTGCAACCATCCGCTCAATTAAATACAATGTGTCTTAACTAGATTGAAGAGCACCTCCCGACCTCCCTCAATTGCGTGAACCAATCCCAGCACCACTACTCCCAATACCACTATTCCAGGAAAGACACACTATCGACGATAATACGACACGTGTTTGACGACGTGACAGGAGTGTGATAGGAGACATTGACTCTACGGGTATACGCGAACGCCGTAGAGTCAACATCTCCTGAAAATGCCTCGTGTAGAGGCGATACACGTGTCGTATTATCGTCGATGGTGTGTCTTTCCTGGAATAGTGGTGTTGGGAGTAGTGACGTTGGGAGTATTGGTGTTGGGAGTAGGGGTGCTGGGAACTGGGAATGGTGCACGCAATTGAGGGAGGGCGGGAGGTGCTCTTCAATCTAGGTAAGACACATCATTGTATTTAATTGAGCAGATGGTTGCAAGGTAGCTGTTAATATCTTTATTATAATGGATTTCCGCAAAGTAACGCCTGATTCTATCAATTATAGCAAAAATAATAATAATGAGGTAGGTGTAAAAGTGGCTGCTTTGTAACGGCACGTTTACGTTATCGGCACGAGCAACTCGCTGAGTATCTCGCCGAGTTATTCGTGGACAAGTACGACACGACACGTTTACATATTCGTCTGTATTCATTCAACATAGATCTTTTAAACATGGATGACGTGCGTTTACAACAACTTTGTCTACTTGTTATTTATAGACTTAAAATATTTATTTGGGGGGTGTATAGCGCCCCCGCCACTATATGGAACGACCATCTAGTAAGACATTCAGGGAATCGATGGATGCAGATGTTTCAGGGCCGTGCTTTGTGGTATTCCTTGGGGAGGCCTATGTTCAGCAGTGGACTTGTGAAGTGCTGTAATGATGATGATGATGATGATGAAATATTAATTTCCATTAATATTTATTTAAAACGGGTTTCTAAGACCTCATATCACGGGTTCTCTTTGTTAAAGTTCTATAAAATAGTGGACCCCCAAGGTCAAACGAATAATGACGAGTATGTAAACACCTATACGAATACACACTTTTACTCTTTTTTTTTATAGAATAGGGTGACAAACGAGCACACAGTCCACCTGATGGTAAGTGGTTGCTGTGGCCTATAGACATCTACATCTATCCTCCATTAAAAATCAAAATGCAGATGCGTTATCAACCGTGAGAACTGAGATGGAATGCCTCGTTTCCAGTAAAAAGGGTCTCCGGTTCTCTACACTCACCATACGAAATACAGCCGCATTAAGCTACTATTTCACGCTGGTATTCTGTGAGAGCGTGGTCCTTCCCCGGTCGAGCCGACCCATTCGTGCTACAACTATACTACTAATATAACTGCAGCATGGCTCTACCACGTATATACCACGTACTCGTGCTAAAAAAGCCGAGATCGAGTGGAGAACAAGCGAATACTAGAGTCGAGTAGGGAGAACATCTGAACTAGGTTTTCACATACTCGAACTCGTGCATACTCATCTGTGCTCGGCAAGTATGTACACGTTGCATAAGACACAACGTGGGAAAATAACTACATAGGTATATAGATTGACGACGATAGAGTGATGACTGATGACTGATAAGTAATACAGTGGGTCTTAGTAGAGTACAATCACAGTAATACATCAACAGTGAATGTACGAGAAACAAGCCGAAAACACACGGAATGGTGATAAAAACAGAAGTTCTCTTCGAATATTTTACAGTATCTGCCACGGGGAGTGCTCTGAGGAACAGTTCGTACTTTGCTCAATTTCACCATCACACATAACACTCGCGATACCATCCAAACCTGGATTTGGTGGTGGCAACCCTGGTGATAAGTTGTAAAAGTTACTATCTGCTTTGTATTGAACATTAAAAAAATTGCTACATAAATATATAGTACCTGGATGACCGAGCATTCCTCGGTATTTTTTTTTTGGAAATTATATTTAGATACAAATTACATACTGATGAAACATGAATAATATTTTTTGAACTTATTGACATAATAGAAAAAACTGAACTGGTTATTTGAATAAAAATCATGAGTGTATTTATTTTATTTTAAATTTTCGTATTTAAAAAAAATACTTACTAAAAAAAAGCTTGAAATAATAGTATATATATAATAGATTTTCTCACAAAAGAAGGGAACTTGAAAAAAAAAGGAAAAAAAAGTCGGACCTAAGACGGGACGCGATCCAAGGGATTACGATTTTGCAACCACTCGCTATCCACTTGAGCTATTACGATCATTAACACAGTGTCAAAATTTACCTTCTTATATTGCAGCAGTTTTTCGTTGCCTGAAAATACGGACAAAAAGACATTTTCTAAAAATAAACCGCTAGCTACCGCTAGATCGATTTATTGCCCCCGAAACTCCCGACACTAAATTTTATGAAAATCGTTGGAGCCGTTTCCGAGATTCCGATTATATATATACAAGAATTGCTCGTTTAAAGGTTTGTAGAACTAGGTTTGTTTGTAGAAATGTAGAACATTGTCTAAAATCATTGTGAATCTTTTCATTCCTTTTATTATAATTAAAGAGCTATTCTATTACTCACATTATTATATTCTTTGTGAGTTTCTTTTCGAATTGTTCTAACGATAATTTAGATTTGAGATCTGTAAATAGTTTAAAAAAAAATTAACAACTCGACATTAGCTTTTTTATGAGATAAGGGTGACAAACGAGCACACAGTCCACCTGATGGTAAGTGGACGCTGTGGCTCATAGACATCTACTTTTAACCTCGCTTAAGAATCAAAACGCAGATGCGTTGTCACCCTTGAGGACAAAGATTGAATGCCTCGATTCCAGTATAAAGGGTACCATACACTCACCATTAGAAACACAGCAGCATTAAGCTGCTATTTTACGCTAGTATTCTGTGAGAGCGTGGTCTTTCCCCGGTCGAGCCGACCCATTCATGCTACAACCATAATAGCTGCAGTGTGGCTCTACCACATAAAAAACATACTCTGCTTCTTCCGTTATCGATCTTTGTTTTCTTTTATTATTTACAATAAATAGTTAAATGAATACTTGCCAAGACGCGCCCGATTGAGAACCAACTCTAGCTTGCGCTTCAAGAACTTTAGGCGTCCAAGGACAGAAGAAAAATAGTTGGCAGAATTTTATTATTGCCAAAAATACACATTTAAAATGGGATATAGTTAAGTAACATACAGATTACACAAGTGTTATGAAAGAAAGCGATCAGCCAATGCAGCAAGGAATATGAGGAAGCTCTAAGGCTTATTACTGCATTGAAGTTACAGTTGAATGATCCTAATGAGCAAATAGCACAATTTAAAACAATTTGAATGATTGGCGGTCCACCACTGATGAAGATTTATAAGAAGTTTTCTTCCTCGCACAACTTCCTTGTGGAATCGACTACCATCAGCGACCGGACCGAGCCAACTTAGGGACCTTCAAGAACGGACCGCGCCAACTTAGGGACCTTCAAGAAAAGGGCTCTCACAGAATACCAGCGTAAAATAACAGCTTAATACTGCTGTGTTTCGTATGGTGAGTGTACAGATCCGAAGACCTTTTTTTATTGGAAACGAGGCATTCCATCTTAGTCCTCACGGGTCACAACTCATCTGCGTTTTGATTCTTAATCGAGGATCAATGTAGATGTCTATGGGCCACAGCAGCCGCTTACCATCAGGACTGTGTACTCGTTTGTCACCTTTATTCTATAAAAAAAGACCTATTCTTTTTTAAAAAGTCATTCATTCATTCATCAGGTGAGCCGCATGCTCGTTTGCTCTCATATAAAAAAGTTAATTAATAATTAAAACAATTAAACAAGTTTATGGTAAAAAAATATTCCACGTTTTTAAACGGACTAAAATTCTCTTTCTTTTTATATTACATTGTCATTCGATCTGTGATATGTTTAAAATTACAAATCTCTATCTCACCGGGAAGTCAGTTTAAGTACTAAATTCGACCCGAATACAAACACGGTAAAAAAGAGT